TAATCCTCACTAAGTTCTATCTTAACCTATAAGCAATCCACATCATCTTTCACTAATTGTAGTCCACATCATCTCCCAGTAATTAGCAATGTTATCCCACTAACTTCTAACTTCTTAATGCAAGCTATCCATGCTATTTTCACTTAATTTCATTCTATATTATTCGAGATCTCCATAACAACGCGCGGGGTATCCTCTAATACAACAAGAAAGGCAACAAACCCCTCGCTAGATGCCATGATGGTTGGGCTCCCCCTTTCTTTTTTGGTTAGACACACACAAGGTTTAGGTTGTATAGATGTTTAAAACTATTCATATTATTAGGATGTCTACTTTAATCTCTTCTCTTCACTATCTCTATCTATCTATATACAACTAAAAAGCTTGAACTGATTTTGTCCACCCGGGCTTCGTGCATGCTCCCTATGATCTGCGCATTTCCGGTTCGATTCCCACTATGCTCCATCCGATTTTTCCACGGTTCAGTTCCTCGTTGGATCTTCAATCAAGAAAAAAAATGAAACAAGAATCATTGGGCCCTTTGGTGATTTCCAAACCTGCCTGACTCACCACAATCGCATGCCGATCTAGGGCACCCTGACTAACAAGCGCGAGCGATCCAGCACTTTGCCAAAAAATCCTTCAATGTGTCCCATGTCCGTATGTCATTGCCCTGGCCTGGTGCCATTCTTCCCAAAATCCTCCGCACAAATTCCCCTGTGTGATCTTTCTGCCCCCTCCCCAACCCAAAAAAATTCCCGTACTTCTTCGTGAAGACGTCGATCTCCACTGTGAGAGGAGAGGAAGACGCCGCGGTGTGATCAAGATGCTTCATCCACTCCACGCTCTCGATCGTCGCCACTGCCCCCGCGAAGAAGACAAATTAAAGTGGTGCTCATCGAGGTTGCTCTCAATCGAGGCGTGCTCCAGCAGCAGTTAGCATCGCTCGGCATGCGTCATCACTGACCAGGCGATGCACACTGAGGAACTTGCCGTTGCTGCTGCCCGCACAAAGAAAAACCTAGCGGCGCACATCAAGTCCTTCCATTTGGTGTGCCGTCAGCCGCGAGGCTCACCACCCATCTGCTAGTGCCCCGATATGGTACCAACAACCACAAGGTTGCCATCGCCGCCGCAATGGAGAAGCAGCAAAATCTTTGCTTCTCCATCACTTCTCAGTGTTGCCTATCGTCCTTGGGTTGTTGTTCCTTGCGGTCTTGCCAATGCCGTCCTTGGGTTGCTGGACCGTCTCACCACTACCGCCAAGTTGTAGTGTCTGAAACTGGCTCACGATGCCAAGTTTGGCATGGCATAGTTACTCCGGCTTGCTGGCCTTGTTCAGCATCTGTACTGCTCCACAACGTCACCTTCCCCCCTACTCCGCATCCATGTTGCCCTGGCACATAGCTGCAGCCAGCACATTTTCTCTTAGGAAAAAAGAGTTTTTCTTAGAAAAAGAAAGAATAGAGTAGCAAAGTTGGACAGAAGACCCAAACTAGCACAACAGAATAGGGGAAAATAAATGAAGTGATTTGGTCTGGAAAAACTTTATTTGTTACCATCAAATCTTTTGGATGATATTCTTGGCCTCTTTTTCATGCCCATCACAATGAATATATATTCACCTTTAGCATGTAGGTCTATAAACCAACCAACAAAGGAAGAAAAAAAAATGTTGGGAAAAAAACAAGAGACACGCAGAGTGTGACCAAAATAGTAGCACACAAGAAACGACATGGACATAGAATGTGTGTTTCTGTTTATGGTGCTTGAGCTGAAAAAAGCATGAACATAGAATTTGTATTTCGGTAACACAAGAAGAAGCATGAACCTATACCTTGAGGATGTCCTCTCGGCTTATCTTTGACCATCCAAATGCGAAACCCATCAAATAGTAAAGGCACAACAAGAGGCTTCATATCTAGTTTGAAAACTCCGAAGTCAAGGGGAGGTACAAGACCAACAGTAACCAGAAAAAAAAACATTTCCCATCCCTCTTTGATAAGACAACTGTCTTGATGTTGGGAGTGGACTTAATGGCAAGCAGTACACAAGATCAGATATTGTGTAGGTGTGTGCAGGGACAATATTTTATTGTTTGTCATTAAGTCCACTCCCTGAGAGTTGTCTTCTCAGAAAAGGATGAGAAATGTTACTTGGTTGCTGTTGTTCTCGTTCCTCATCATGATTTGAGTGTTTTCAATCTAGATATGAAGGTTGTGCCTTTGCTGTTTGGTGGTGCAACATTTGAGATGGTCAAAGATGAGCGGGGATGACGTCCTGAAGGTACAGGTTCATGCTTCTTCTTGTGTTACCAAAACATACATCCCATTGTTCATGCTTCTTCTTAGCTCAAGCACCACAAACAAAACACACATTCCATGTACATGCTGCCTCTTGTGTGTTGCTATTTTCATCACACTCTGCGCGTCTCTTGTTGTTTTGTCAACATTTTTCTTCTTCTTCTATTGGTTGGTTCTCAGACCTCCATGCTGAAGGTGAATGTTCACTATGATGGGTAAAAGGAGGAGGTCAAGAAGATTCTCCATAAGATTTCATGGGAATAAATAGAGTCTTTTCTAAACCAAATCACATCATTTATTTTTCCTATGTTGTCCTTATTAGGGTCTTTTCAATTTTCCTATTTTATTCTTTATTTTCTAAAATAGGCTCTCATTTTCCCTTTGAGAAAATGTGCTAGGCTCATCTACAGTATGAACACTTAATATAATCGTGTTGTCACAGAGAAAATTACACAGAGAACATAGATTTTCTATTTTTACACACTTTTAACAATTTTAAAACTATTTAATAAGCATAAACCTGAATAATTCTATAACTCAGTCATACACGATCCAATGAGCATTAAACTTTTACTACATCTCAAGCATACAATGATTAGTCCGCCATAAAAATTTCACCACAATAGGACCAAACAAACTGCAGCTACGAATGAATCACATAAAAGCATAGATCTAAAGCTGGACCAAAAATTTTGTACTAAAGTATACCGTATCATATGTTTACTGTGTAGATCTACTCATATGGAGTCCAACAAAGTTGGATTTTATATTTTATGATTTTTCTATAATTTATTATGATTTTCAAATATTTAGCCAAAATAAATATAAAGAAAAACCACCCAGAGAAACAGCCAGAGAAGTCATATGTCTGGTTTGAAAAGATCGGGGAGGAGTTATGTCCGGTTTTCAGTTCAAGAGGAAAAACTGATTTTTGCGAGAGTTGAGGGAGGCAAAGTAGACTTTTTCCTTGTTATTATGGTCAGGCTTGTCTGGAAAGGGAATTTGGGCAGAGAGGCAAGAACTGGGAAGGGAAATGGACGAGCACGCGGCTGAATCCGCGAGAACGAAGACGGTTTCACGATTCAGTTATGAGTTCGTTACAGATGATGTTCCCTCCTCTCCCGAGCCGGCCCAGCTCACTCACCCAACAAGGCCTGAAGGCACGATACAGGCAGGCCGAGGCCCAAGCCCAATACTCACTTCTTACTTGGTACAATGAAAGATCAAGTAGTAGCAGTAGCACCCATGCCAGTCAGATACAGGCCTATCATCATCTTACTACTGCTGAATGCTGACCACACATTGCTATTAGCTAGGCTTATTACTAGTTACAGGAAGTCAGGAATACAGGTTGATTTAATTCCAGGCCATATGACATATCAGCACTCAGCAGTGACAGTGACAGTGCAGGTAGTAGTGCTAGCGTGGCGACAAGTAAAGAAAGAAAGGCTTTGGCAAAGGAGAGAACATAATGATCGAAAGCCTCCGCAAAGGTGACCTAGCTCGGTGCTTCAAGTGCAGCACCACTCATGAATCAGTTACGCAGTAGCATCATCGCTTTACATATTCGCCCTGTTTCAGCAGTACCAGACCATGCATATATATTCTTACGTACGTACGAGCTAGTAAAGTATATACAGTTTTGTGATTTGTGAATGAATGAGCTTATGAAACACGCGCTTCTATACAATAATGTTCTTACGGTAGAGTACACCGACAGTTCTAGAATTGTGTCGGTGTGTGTCGCTGGTTTGTAAACTGTCGAATGCAAATCCATTCAATCGGATCGGAGGTCCAAAGTGCAAACTAGAGCACCCCAGGGCCCAGATAATCTCTGGCTACTAACATTTAATTATATATTGCTGATGATCAATTTGATGCGTGTATATAGCAACTCTGTCAGATCGACATATATATACAAATACTGATTAGGAGACCTACACCGATCATAAATCACTTGATCAGTCCAGGAGCTTGTAAGTTCAACTGAATTTCAAAACTGAAAGATCTATCTAGGTAACAAATAAAGGACTGAAAGTTTAAGAATCCGAAGCTGCATCTTCAGAGATTTGATGCCAAATGTGAAATAAGCAGACAAGTTTAGGTGAACCTTCAGTTCAGCAAACTTTAGTCCATTATTGGTATCTTTAGCTTTATTAGCTTTTGGATTAGGCCCAAAATAATCAGACTAATAATAGTTAAAGCTCCAGTGATGCCATACTGCTTGTTGTCCCCCGGTTCACGTTCATCACGCACATACATAAAGGAATAAAGGTGCCCCTAGGTCTAGGTGTTGGGTGTTCCAGTTGAGCAGCATGCGTTGGTTACGCTTCGTGCATGCGCACTAACAAACAGAGGAAACGGTGGCGTGGACCTCTCTATCTGTTGTGTATTCGCTCCGTTCTTGATTGCAAATCATACTACCTATATATGTGTGTGTTGTGCTCATATGACCATACATATGCAATATATACAGTGCATAAGAAGCAGTGAAGCAGCACCCGGCCAGCCCAAAGTGTGCCTAGCTTAGCTTATAGGAACGAAGAAGAAGCAAAACAAACCAGTGCACAATGGCTGGCAGCTACCTGCCCCTCGCCTCCGCCCTTCCTCGCCACCGCCATCGTCGCCATTCTCGCGGCCACATCCGCCTTTCCTGTGGCCGCCGCCGCCTCCGCCGCCGATAAGTACAGCGGCAGGATGGTCATCATCCGCGCACCCGGGGCAAGGGTCCTCGACGTCTCTGCTGGCGGTGCGCTCAACAAGTGGCAGCAGCAGCAACGGCGCCTGGTGGAGGACGAGGTGGCGCCCGAGTTCGGCGGCCTGCTCGGGACGGGAAACGGCGGCAGCATCTCCGACGGTGCCTTGAACAAGGACCGGCAAAATTGCCTGCCGTCCGGCCAGTGCACCAAGCCAGGAGGGTCCTACACCCGGGGGTGCACGTTCAAGGACCACTGCCCCCACACCCCCACTGCCGCCGGGCACGCACGCGCCGTGCATGGGTGAGCCACAGCCACACTGCCATCCGATTCCGACGGGACGACGCGGTTACTGTGCGTGTGTGATACGTGCAGTTACATGAATAAACGAGTGTATGTTCATATATGTTGGCATGTTAAACAGTGTCTTCCTACATGATCAAAGAGAGGCTGAGATCGAGCCTCTCACAACTTATATGCATGTCTTCTTCTTCCCTATTCTCGTTCTAGTTCTGGATTATACAGTCTCACACACTGACACTACTGATATTTTCACTTGCCATATATACACAGCTATCAATACAAGTTTTTTTTTTTGAGAAAAAGCTATCAATACAAGTAGATGAGGGTAGTAAGGTACTACTCATGTTTGAGTACAGCCCAGGTCAGCCCACCGCGTAGATGCCTCGGCCCATTAGAGCAAGGCCAATGAGTTGTATGGGTCGGCCTCAAGTGAAAAATGGGCCAGTATGTCAAGGACTGATGACCCATCTGGTAAATAGTAATAATAAGATGGTGAGTCTGTTTTTTCAGCGGTGGGTTCTGGCTGCGGATTCTGCTTCTATGGTTGTGAATCTAAAAAAAATCTGGATTAGCTTCATTGGAGTTTGTCCCACGGGCTGTTTTTTTTTTATTATGGCAAGCCTAGTGCTCGGACGTCCGGCCCTAGGCTTACCACTTGTCATGGGCATACCACTTATGTACCGACAAGACGTCTTTTATCGGAACATAAATTGGCCTTATGATGATTGGATGCTTCTTTCAAAGTTCTCATTCAGGCGTGTCCTCATCTTCTTGTGCATCACCTTCTTCAGGAGGCACTCGTTATTCAAGTATCACTGCGCTTGTTGAGAAGACTATGGTATCTCATCATGCACTTGTTCGGTACAAGCTGGAGAAGGTTGTGGTTTATCAAGCACATGCTCGCTAGGAGGCGGGGAAGAATATGACATCTCAGTAATGTGGTGGTCACGAGACGGTAAAAATATCTCCCCGTCCTCAACAACTCGCTCCAAATTTAAGAGAGGGGGAGGCGGCGAAGAAGCGGTCAATATAATGTCCCGTTTGTGCCAGAGGATGAACTACCCCATTACGTCTCTGAGTAACACCAGCCCCTCGGGAGTTGCGTAGTCTATCCTCCACTACATGAACTCGGGCTTCATGGTATGCACCTCGACCCTAGTGTAGTTCGGCGGTATCTTATTATTGTGGTGTAAGCCACCAGGAGGATGTGCCACACCCGTTGCCACCTCCATCACAATGTTCTGTCGGACGCTGAGAAACACCAAGGTGCAACTAGTTGGTTCCCGTATACGATCGACGGGGGTTGTGGCTGCAGTGGAACCTTGGTTGCTAGGAACTTTCGGAGGGCTGTCAACTAATGCTAGTTCTCCCAGTGGCACCATTAATGTCCATGGCTCCATAGATAGTCCTTTCTCCTCCAGCGTCTTCGCAACTAGAGCCTTCACTTGGAGCTCAAGATTAGTCTCTTGGTCTCTGCCATATTTCTTGTACATGTGCTTGTTCTCTTCAAATTCGTGCTTCTAGGTCATCCTTTTCCCTAGCCCCCTGGTGCAGCCTGTGTGCTCGTTGTTTCCCAAGCCAAGCCTAAGCTCGTCCCTCTCTCTAGAAGGATTGAATGAGCCCTTCTCCTTATCTTCAGCATATTTCAGTATCCTTGATACTACCTCTTGGGTCACCGGCTTATCAAACTTAAGATTACTGTCGGATGATTCTATACTCCTCACATATATCCAATTCCTTGAGCGTACCTTCAAATTCTTCACATCGATATTCCCAGAAGCTGCGGCCTCTTCGTCCATCTTCCTAAACTGCTCTTCCTTGGTATAGTAGCCACCGGGGCCAAGATGATGGTGGTGTTTGATCCTCTTTGCCAGTTCGGTGTTACAGGCACTAAACTCCAATGCCTCCGGTGAAGTCTTCTGAGCCACGAGCTTCTCCCATTGACTAGGAGTTATGTTGCCAAACTCGTTGAAGGAAGTTAACCCCTTTTGGATATACTTTTTGTTGAGCTCCAACCTCCAACGTCGGAATGACTCTCCCATGATTTTGAAAGTATTTTTTTTATCAGTTCTTGCTTACTCTCTAGAAATCTAAAATTGAGCTTCAGCTGCTTATCCCATAGTTCATCCTTTTTCTTCTCTAGTACCTCTTTCCAGTTAGGGATTGATGGGTTCAATTTATCTCTTACTAGGGCCCTAATCGCATTACGGAATCGTCCTCTGAATTCCTTCGGCTCAAGGATCTCCCCTGCTGGGCCGACCTCCATTATCACATAGCATGCCTTATCTTGATATTGGTTTGCTTTTCTATCCCCACGTTTTCTCTTTGGTTTGGTAGTCGTGTTCGTGGTTGTGTCTTGAGGTTGTGGAGCAGAGCCTCAATGTTCGTCTCTGTGGCTGTTGCCTCTGCTCTCCTTTCCTCTACTCCGTCTTGTCCGGCGAGATGTTGCGGATGTCGTCGTCTTTTCCGAGTTTCAGAAGGGACCTGTATATACGACAAGTCAAAGTGTTAGCAGAGGTAATACAGCCAAAGCTTTAGCAAAATTTATAAGCGAAGGCTTTATCCCTACCTCCTCGTTCGAATCAAAATCCTTGTCCAAATCTTCCTCCGTTGGCCTCCTTTTGGCTTCACGTGAGAAAGGATCCTCAGGACTTACATATCCCTCTTCTGAGTCCTCCTCATTATCATCCTCTTCTTATTCGCCTTCAGCAGCCTCTCCTACTCTTCCTTCTGCTCCCCCTTCCTCCTCGTCATACTACTCCTGAGTAAGCATCACTTCTAGATCATTTTCTAACTGGTAATCGAACTACTCCTGAGTAAGCTGGTCCTCTAGTGCTTGCTCCTCATAGGTTGGCAACTCATTATGCTCGGGGCATCGGGCTGCACTGTCTGGTGTCCGTGATATTATTTCACGCTTTGTTCTAATAGATGCAAGAAAGTGTGCTTTAGGTACGTGAGAAGATATAAGAAATCAAAAAGATCTATAAACCAAAGTAGTCCTATAAAACAACAATATATAAAAAAACGAGTAGTAGCAGTAGTAGAGGCCTCAGAAATATGTCAATCATCATTTAATCATCAACTTGGAGCATCAAGGCATCATAACAGAGAAGAGATGAGAAGGTAATATAGGGGCAGCTGGTAATGATGTCAAGTTTCTCCCAAGTTCTTGATCATCAGCTCATATTCCATATCATGTATGGACTTGGACAATTTCATCAGCGGCAAAACAAATGAGAGGAGAGGAAAGGGGAGATTTGGCAAAAAAAAAAAACAACAGATGCTTAGCAAACATAGAGTAGCAGTTGATGGAAAAAATAGCCAAAAAACAGCAGCATTGGTCTTATTATTAGCAGAAAATCGATGAACTTTTAGGCTTTCGAGTTGCTAAAATAAACGTTTGTATCCCTTGGCCTTTGCAACTGAAAAACAAAAAAACACGGAAGGAGCATTTGTTATAGTTTATGGTCTGATGAATTCTTGCCCAGTTGAATGATTGAATTCTTGTTCCCAAGTCGTTTTGAATGATTGTAATTATTAAAATATTTATTTGAAACTTTTTTATACTTACCTTTCATTTTTAACATTGTAAATTTGTTTATACCTCGACTTGCTTTAGAGAAGGCAGAGAGGAGATGATAGTAAATTGTTATGCTAAGATGATAGCACTTGCACTTGAGGTCCGGTCAATCCAATTGAAAGTGCCTCCATTCACGACACTACAAGACTATAGTAAGATCATGTGTGCACATTTATTATATTAAGTAACAGGCACTCCGGTAACCCCGGCCGGTCGTTCCTACGTTTTCCATTCTTCCATGCATGTGTTTCCTTTCCAATTTCTTTTTTTCTAAGAAACTAAGAGTCTGAACGAACAGTGAGCAAAGCTTGAGTGGTCAGGTCCTACCATGTGTGTACATGCAGCTCCAAGAAGCACGGTCACATGCATGCTAGCCGGGCTCTCAAACCTACGGGCTACACCTGCTCTCTATTGTCTTGGGAATGGCCCGTTCATTTTTGCTGGCTGGCAGGCTAGTTGCACTGTACCACAACCAATCTGTAGCGTCAGACAACGGTAGCTAAAACATAATATTAACATCCAACCATCGGTCGATATAAATTTGTAATAAATCATCGATCATTATTTATACATGTATCGACAGAACATCGGTCGCTACATATATTTAGTCTGTTACGTCAAACAATCAATTGGTCGCTAAAGCAAATGCTAGAATCAAACGATTGGTGGCTATAGTCTATTTTCATTTTTTTGCACGATCAGCCCAGCCCACTCGCGCACTAAAATTAGCGCGGCCCACCGGTCAGTGCCACCCAAAACCCTATCTCCAGCACTATTACCCACCCAGCAGCCGCATCTCACCCAGCAGCCGCCAGCCGCACACATCGTCTCGCACAGCAGCGTGCATCTCGTCCGGGCTGCCGCTGCCGCCGCTGTCCCCGCCGGCGCCCGCGAGCTCCGTCCGTGCCACCCGCATCTCACCTCTTCACCAGCGCTGCCCGCGAGCTCGCCGTCCCCACCATCGCAGCTACCGTCCCCGCTGTCGCGGCCGCCGTCAAGCCATCGCGGCCGTCGTCCAGGCCACCGTCCCCGCTGCACGCTCGCCGGTATCGCCGTACTCACTCGAGCCTCCGCAGCCGTCGTCCCCACCCGGCCCGTCGTCGCAGCCACCGTCCCCTTTGAGCGTCCCTGAGCAGGTACTGGTTCCCTTCCTTCCCGTCCGCTGCTCCCTTCCCCTCCTATCCCCTCTCGGCATTGGTCCCTTTCCCAGGCTTCCTTGGATGCACGCACAACAAGTTAGCATGGAGGCGTTACTTGTTTTTTTAGACTAGATGGAACCCTGTGTGAACAATGTCGCCTGCATTTGATTGCACACATATACTGTGTAAAAAAAATAGCATGGTCAATGATTTTTGTGTGGCTGGAATGGAAGTATGCAATTTATCCCCATGCATGGTCGACTTATTATTTCGAATGCATCAAGG